TTTAATGGTTAAGGCATCAAAAGCCTTTCAACAATTTATCTGTATTGTATGGGTTAACAGAATGTGAAAATAAGCCCTCATTCCCAAGTATTAGCCAGGTGTATGTGCAAGGTATACGGATCCTTTTCTGTGTCCTTGTTATTTATTGTCTAATAACGGTTACTAAATATGACCGTTGAACTGGCAAACATCAGTGTTAAAGAAATGCCGAAGAAAACGTACCGGATAGCGTGATAAATGAAATGCTTGTATTCGCGAAAGAAAGCTGTAAATAACCACGCGTCTTCAACTACATGAAGAGCAGTTAATTCTAGCCAATTTCTCTCGTATTTCCTCGGAAGTTTATTCCATCTTCTTCTGCGTCAGCGTGTATAACTCAATGAAGTTTGGAGCGTACAGTCTTACGTTCTTTGCAAGACAATGGTTCCCTTATTATCTCACAGGCCCTTCTACACATTGCCGACACACAACAATCATATATTGCCTAGACTTTAACAAAGACTAATTTTTTGAGGCAACATTCAAAAACTACGATAAGTTTGAAAATGGAAATGGATGTTAAAACATTAAACATTTTAGAAATTACCTCTGAGAGAATTGTCTTGTTTGGGCTAATCTTTGACAGTTTATAATATTAGAATTTTAGAAATGACATCTAAGAATGTTGTTTGGCTGGGTTGATTTGACGGTTTGACAGTTTGAAATAGCAGTGAGTAAATAATAGCCTCTAAAAATGCAGTAAAGCCCAGAATTAAGACAGGCGCGGGGACAAGGTGTAAAACACTAAGTTTTCTTTAGTTCGTTGAACAATATGTAAGCAATGCAAGAAATTTTAAGACGAACAAGAACTAAATTTCTTTAATCAATCACTATGCTGCTAAAGAGGAATCTACCGTTAGGCTCTCTTCCTTCTTAGGTTCAACAAGCAAAATATCATTAATTATTAATCACGTTGGTCCGTGCGTATTTTAATTAAGGTAGTAGACACCCGCAAAAAAGACAGAATTTCGACAAATGTGTTGTGAGGAGTGATAATCAGAAATATTGAACCATTACTCATCGAGTAAGAAGTACACTGTTTCAACTGCCTCTGGAGCTTACTTTCATCCACTGTCACTGAACACAGGCTTTGCAAGGGAGGAGCCACTTGGGCACCTGCTGTGATATACTAATAATTTGGGGGCAGGTTGATCTCCATCACACCTACCATTACGTTTATTCATCTTGGTCGCCATGGAAACATAAAATAAACAAAAAATAAAGTTTGGAGTACCCTTCAAATTTACCCTTTTTTATGGTGTGCATTTTGAAATAACAAAAAATAGCCCCACAGCTAGAAAGTAGAGGTAACAAAAGGGTTGTGAGCTCCAAAACTCTTTGTTTTACGAAAGTCACTTTTTTGTCGTTTTTGCGGGTATTTAATACCTTAAACAAACTGTGTGTTGTTTACTTTGATCCTCACAGAAAGGGAAGTTATCCTGCAGCAGGAATTTTTAGTTTGAGACCGAAGAGTTTGCTTGGAAGAAAAAATACAACAAATCAGGCAAGATGGACACCTATTACCAAATAATCAATTTTTTTTCATTAAAAAGGTAACGAGGATGTTTTAACATGTTGCTCATCATTTCAGTGCAGTCGCTTTACCACAAGAGGAAGACACAGTTTGCACAGTTTGCAAATCCTTCTGGTAAGTTATTCTTAATTAGTACTTTTTTAACATCAGGTATTATAGAAAAGCCCAATTCCGATATATTTTGCCGTTAGGGACTGGTCGTGATTTTGAACGTGAAAGCGAGGCTTGGGGGAATAGCTCGGGGAATGCAAAAATACTTGAAGATGTAAACACGGAAAAAACCCTTACTGAATTTCTGCTTGAAATGTTGAAATATTGCTCAGTTGCTGTTTGTACCAACGGAACTCATAACAGACCAGATTTGTCATATTTTGGGTTTCCAAGCAACGTCAAAATAGGGAGAAAATGGGAAACTTTCTGCAGAAGAGCTGACAATAAGTTCAAGAACCTGTCAGACCCACGAATTTGTTCTTTGCACTTCAAGTACGAAGATCTTAAAAAGGGACTTTCTGGTAAGTTATCTATCATAACAGGGGCTGTTCCAACAATATTCGATCCAAACAAAAGAGCTTCAAAAGAAACTCTACGGACAGAAAGGCTAGAAAAGCGAACTCTTCGTGTCCAGCAGTCCGCAGCGTTCCAAACCGATGAGCGTCCTGCAAAAAAGAAGCCGAAAATATGTGACAAAGATATCACAGATGTTCCAGCGAGTGAAGCTCTGACAAAGTCTGTGGGATGTAAAAGCTTACCTTACTGTGACCACGACTACACAGATCGAATAGACAAAGTAGATGAATCTCATAGAAATGTGGTGTACCAAACTGATCTTACGATAGAAGACTTTGAAGCGGTCAGCTNTATCAAAGATGCACCTATGTTAATGGTGCTATCTTAATTTTCAAGGTATTGGGCTTGGCGCACGGACAGTGACGTGACAACCAAAATTTTTAGATCGATGGATTACATAATTTTCGAAGGGTTTGCGCTCAACTCGCGCACAGGAGCTCCCCTATAATGAGATTCATTCCCTACTACTCAGGAACTGTTACTGGATTACCTTTAATTATTATTATTATTTTTTAATTAAATAATGCCAAAAATTAAATTACAAGGAAGGAGGCAATATCAGGAAGCTATAAGTATTTTGCATCCATGATACAACTTGGGTAACCTACTGAAAGGTTACAAGGCATTGGAACATTGGTCAGCCAAGCCAAGATACGTTTGAACTGACATATCAATAACATTACAGTACAATGGATAAACAATAATTATATCCTATCAATATACTAACATAATTTACTCAAAAAATTATACTGTACTACAGTTTGATCCCACTAATTCGAACTCGGCCATTTTGAATTCCCCATCATTTCGAACTCAAAACCATATCCCTTATGGATTTGCACTCAAGTCAAATACTATCAGCTATTTTAAACTATTTTTTTTTTCTTTCTCCTGAGGGTTCGAAATGGCAGGGTTCAACTGTACATAAAAACAAAATTGTGTGTGAAACTTTATTGGGTTATTTCTTCCAAAAACTTACAACTAATAAAAAATTTAGGGCAAAGAAATCTTTTCTTTTCTTTTCTTTTTTTTTTTTGGATTAAAAATAGCATTTATAGCATTTATGTACTCTTAATAGAGTCCATACCATGCCTATACAAGCCTTTAAAGTCGCTGCAAA